GTTCCAATCCTGGCGTCCGTCTGTCCCGCTGGGAGGTGATCCCCCCCTGCTCTGCAATAAAAGCCAGGTGCTTTGTCAGGGAGGCTTTGGAGCCGACGCCCGGGCGGTTCCTTCTCCCGCAGGGAAATTTGTAGCAAAGCCAAACCGAAACGCCAGCAGCGTCCTCCCCGGGGCAAAGTGCCGCTGTACTTAACGGGCACCGTGGGTTTGATCCTGGCTGGAGCTGCCCCCACGCGCTGTCTGTGTCTCTGCCACGCTGATTCCCTTAGACCCCGTCCTGGCACAGCCGCCGCGCCTTCCGTCGCCGTGGCAACGAACACGAGCCGGGGTGGGTGTTGTGTGGAAGAACACCCAGCAGCCCCCAGTCACGTTACACACAGCTGCTGTGTGGGGTCCCCTTTCTGTGTGCGCATGCGTACCCCGTTCCATCTCCGTCGATAGACCAGCCGCGTGGGACGCCGGAGCTCAGCCTGCTCGTGGAACCCGCAGTGGATCTGGCCCCTTTGTTCCCACCCAGAATCCCCCTCTGGGATCAGCAGCAGAGGACACAGACCAGCCTGTCTGGGCAGCACTGGGTGAAGGAAAATTTTTCCTGCCTCACAGCGCTGTTCTCTGGGAGCACAATTGTCCTGTCCCTTGGAAACCCTGGCTGGGGCGTTTTGGAAGCAGTGAATTCCCGTGAGCTGGGATTGTGGGAAAGGGTTTCTCTTGATTTGAATCCAAAAACTTGGCCCTGGAAAGTGACTGAAAGGGAGCTGGGCCCAGGGCCAAGACAACTGCATTGGGGTCCTGTTAGGCCACAGGGGCCAGTCCAGTTCTTTGGGGAAGGGCCCGGGGTCGCCCCCCATTAACATGACAGGGCCACCCCAGCTCTATGGGGAGGGATCTGGGGTCTCTCTGTGTTAGCCCGGCGGGGCCAGCCCGGCTCTGGGTTTGGGGGTCCAGGGTCTATTCCTCCTTGTGCATCATCTGTGGAATTGTTCCTAATTTCCAGGCCCTGGTTTTATTGGGCTGTTTTGGTTTCTTCCCCTGCCCCGCCCCGGGTGGAGGCACAAGAAGGAAGGAACCGGTTTTGGAGCCCCGGCTGAGCTTCCAGGGCTCACATTGAGGAGAAAACTCCTTGGCACACGTGAATGGGGTGCGTTTGCTTTCAGAGCCCCAGGCTGCTGCAGCACAGAGCCACCCGTGCCCTGGCATGGTCCGACCTACGGGTGAGGAAATGGCCGGCCCAGAATGCACCAACGTCTCTGTGCTTGCTCCCAAGAGGAACCATTTGTACTGTCTGTTTAATGCCGCTTTGACCGGTCAAGCCAGCAGTGTTAACGCTACTGCCTGCCTTTCTGGGGCCATGTTTGGTACCTAGGCAAGCACCTTGCATCCTGCCCCTAGGCAAGTATCCACTACACTTGTGCTTGGATGGAGACTGTTCCTTAAACTGTTGAAGGGTCTGCGCTCTCAGCTTGCCTGGGAACCAGGGTCAAAGAAGAGGTGGGGGAAGGTTGCTATTGAGCTTGTGGGGTAAGGAAAGACTCTGTTCTATCATAGCTGGGGGTTTAATTCATCCCTGCATGAGATAGGGGAGCAGCACAAAGCTTAATGCTGCATGTAAGCCCGCAAAAATTGGCCTTGGGTCCTTGATTCAGGGCAGCACCCCTATTCAGGAAGGCTGCTTAAAGTTAAACACATGCTGAAGTGCTCTCCTGACTCAGGGTTGCATAGATCTTGGGCGGGGGGGTCCGTTTCACTCTGCACGCAGGCTGCTGTTAATCTGGGTATCAGTGGCAGGAATACGCAGTGTGTAATAAAGCTAAAACAAGATGAGAAGCAGCATTTTGTAAATGGAGGGACTGAGCCATTCACATGGGCACCATGAAGAAAATGCGGTTTGATTTTTTTTCTTCCACTGTCGCTTGGTATAAAACCCATCTTAGCAAAAGAACCAATGAGAACTTCAGAATCGGTGTTGTGGGTCTGTAAGCCTTCCTGTCCCGTTCTCCACAGAGCAGTGGGACGAGCCGCCAGCCTCAGCGGGCAGTGCTTTCCGACGGCAAACTTTTTGGAGAGTATTTTTTTGTAATGGTTTGATATGGTAATTTCCCTTCCGACACTTTTGAGGGTGGTATTTTTACGTAGGCTACAGGTCTACCAAAATAGGCTGTGTTTAATTAATTTCCACATTGTTGTATGAAAAAGGAAAAATAGTACGAACCAAAGGTTTTTTTTGTAACTCTGATGATCTTGCATTTTAAGGATTAAATTTGTGTGCTAAATTTCCTGAGCTGCATTGTGTATTTTAATACACCTCCACTCTCTCCCTATTAATGGTAGTGTATATTTTAAAAACTCCTCCCCACCCCCATACACCCTATTCTTGGTACAGGTGCATTGTGGCCTGATGGACCTAAATGTTAAGTGTTGACCAAAGCTTAGTTATTTATACCAATATAGCGTGAATGCCAAGGGTGTATAAAATGCCAGGGGAGTATAAAATGCAAGCAAGTTTAAAGTGGTAATAATTTATATACAATGGCTTCATCTAGACTGGCATGATTTTGCGGAAATACTTTTCACGGAAAAGTTTTTCTGTGAAAAGTATTTCCGCAAAATAGCGTCTAGATCGGCAAAGATGCTTTTGCGCAAAAAGTGCTTTTGCGCAAAAGCATCCGTGCCAATCTAGACGCACTTTTGCACAAGAAAGCTCTGATGGCCATTTTAGCCATCGGGCTTGTGCAAAAAATTAAGGTGCCTGTCTACACTGGCCCTCTTCCGCAAGTATTCTTGCGCAAGAGGGCTTATCCCTGAGCGGGAGCATCATAGTATTTGTGCAAGAACACTGACAATCTTACATTAGATCGTCAGTGTTCTTGCACAAATTCAAGCGGCCAATGTAGACAGCTGGCAAGTTTTTCTGCAAAAGCGGCTGTTTTTGCGGAAAAACTTGCCAGCTGTCTACACTGGCCACTTGAATTTGTGCAAGAACACTGACGATCTCATGTAAGATTGCCAGTGTTCTTGTGCAAATACTATGTTGCTCCCGTTTGGGAAAAAGCCCTCTTGCGCAAATGTATTTGTGCAAGAGGGCCAGTGTAGACAGCTAAAAACTGTTTTGCGCAAAAAAGCCCCGGGGGCGAAAATGGCAATCGGGGCTTTCTTGCGCAAAACCGCGTCTAGATTGGCACGGACGCTTTTCCACAAAAAGTGCTTTTGCACAAAAGCGTCCGTGCCAATCTAGACGCTCTTTTCCGCAAATGCTTTTAACGGTAAAACTTTTCCGTTAAAAGCATTTGCGGAAAATCATGCCAGTCTAGACGCAGCCACTTGGGTCTGACAAATTTTGCTCTTGCTTAGATGCACGTGGATTGCCAGGACACAGCCCTGAGGAAGCTGGTGGTGACTGCCCAGTTGCTCTCTGGGCGGGCTGGGGTCCCACAACCCCATATTCTGGAAGCTGACGCCTTAGGCAATCCTGGTGTTCATAAACCATTCCCATATTTCTAGTATTGGATTAAAACCCGTAGTAACACAGAGCCAAACATGGGGAGGCCTCTGATGCGCTCAGTGATGTTCCCCTCATCACTTCCTGCATTGGAGGGGTCACCTTATGAGGTTTTAATAGGGGAAATGCAGCTCGTGGTTGCACCCACAGGAACCTGCAGACCGGCAGGTACACCATATCTGCTTGCCTAAGGGGATCTGGACAGGTCCCTTGATCGTGTGCTCTGCTTCAGTTTGGGAGGTACCGTCACTCAGGATTTCCCTCTGCACGGGCAAGATTATAAAAGGATCCTGGGGACGCCTAGGGTTGTCCGGTTTTCACCCAGACTGTCCATTATTAGGGTCCCCCATCTGGTTTAATGGAAGCCTGGTGGGGACAATTTTCCCCTGCAGCATCTGGTGGGGGCAAGGGAGTGAGAAGTACAGGGCTATTTAAAGGCACAGCGCCTTTTTTTTTTTTTGCTTAACTTTGGTCTCCCCCTTTTGTTTTCTCAACAGAATTTTTTCTCGGTGTTTGTTTTGGTATGGAGGGGAGTGTTTGATATTTTTGGTTAAACCATCTGGCAACCCATCTTGGTCTTCAATCCTGCTCTTGCCTTCAGAAGCATCCTTGCTGGGGACAGAGGGAAGAGTTTGTTGACCCAGCCTAACATAGCGTGTACTCCAGAGACTTGGTGGTTTGTTACGTCTCTGAGAAGTGCCTGCATCCAGAACGTGGTGACTGATGTGTGCAGGGTATTTCCTTTAACAATCTCACTCTCAACTTTTTCTTTCTTTTTATTAAGAAACCTTTAGATTTTAGAAGATTGGCCCAGTGTGCTCCTTGGGTAAGATCTCAGATATACATTGACCTGCGCCTGTCGCTGGTCCTTCGGGACTGGGAGAGTCCTCTAGGAGTTGGGGAGATTGGGCTTCTCGTCCGTGTGAGGTGTGGTGCAGGCAGAGCCAGGGTGGCTAAGGGGATGTGCTTGCGAGGCTTCTTGCTGGCGAGGGTGGCAGCTGATGGGCTGTGTGTGACTGGTTGGGTGCCTTGCAGGGAGGACCACCGTCTTGGGCTGTAAGTGGCCCTGGTTCTGGGCAATTCACCCTCTCAGTGGTACCCTAGACCGCCCTGGTATATCAAGCTCCCACTCTAGCTGCAGCTCCTGGCCCTGGAGAAGCTGGTAGCAGCTGGTGCCCAGCTGATCCCTGGGTGGATTGGTGGCCCACTAGGGTTGCCAGGTGGTTTCAACAAAAATACCAGACACACTTGACATGACATCACAATCGACATGACGGCTTATTTAGAAAACACAGGACATTTCTATTTTCTCCGTTTGTTTCCTGAACAGAAAACTCACTGGCAACCCCACCCACAACCCCAGTGTCTGGAGGCTGATGCCATATTCATTAGGCCTTTGGAGGACTCACCCTACCTCTAGCTGCTGTCTTCTCCTCCCTACCTTCACCCCCCTCACAGCCCAACCCTATGTCCTGAGTCCATCAACCCCTGAACCTCCTGCCCTGAGCCCCTCCGGCTCCCCAACCCAGATTCCTGCACCCCCACCTCCCCAGCCCCCTGCCATAACACTCCTGCACCCCAACACACCCCAACCCTGTGCCTTGAGCCCATCATACATCCGAACATCCCCTGTCCTGAGCCCTTCATACACCCCAACACCGATTGCTGCACCCCCACATCCCCAGCCCCCTGCCATAACACTCCTGCACCCCAACACACCCCAACCCTGTGCCCTGAGCCCATCATACACCTGAACCCCCTGTCCTGAGTCCTTCAGACACCCCAACCCCATTTCCTACACCCCCCCACATCCCCAGCCCCCTGCCATAAGATTGACAGAAGACAGCCTGAATGCACACACACAGCTGGATTTGACCAGTTATCATGGAAACGTCAAAGAACTGTGAAAAAAGATGCAGTAGCAGGTGTCCCATTAAAGCCTGCGAGTACACTGTTTCATGAATGCTATTATTAACAAAGAGAAAACAGTTTCTTGCCACTTTAACCAGAAAGGACACTCTCTAAATGACTTAGCCACCTGCATTCTGCTACAAAGACCTTTTACATCTGCACTTGAAAGGGAATCCTCTGAACTGTCATTCATGTTAAAATTCGACACTTACCACCAGGGACTTAACAAGTCTTTGAACTTTCTCACCCATTATCAAGACAGTTTCCCCAATTATCACCTGTAATACCATTAACTCACAAACATCCCACTCTCCCTACCTTTAATATCAGCAATTCACAGACACTTACCTTCCTTCCTCCCCCTTCCCACCCCCCCGCCTCCTCCTTCTGTTCTGCAATGTGATTTGTCCTTTTCATATTTGTTCTTTTTTTTAATTGTATCCTTTGGTATATATGGTTGTGACTACTTTCTTCCACTATTTGATCTGAGGAAGTGGGTCTGGCCCACGAAAGCTCATCATCTAATAAACCATCTTGTTAGTCTTTAAAGTGCTACATTGTCCTGCATTTTGCTTCAGCTACCCCAGACTAACACGGCTACATTTCTATCATTATTAATCCGCACGTCCGTTATCCGTGATATTAAGCTGCATATGTTCAGCCATGCAAATGGGCATTCTTAGTTATACAGCTCTTTGGTGGCTCCTTGTTCTGAATTTGTTTTGGCTCTTTGGTTTGAAAAGTTTGCCGGCCCCAGCTTAGAGAGTAGCCGGCTCTGCGTTCTCTGGCCACTAGAGAGGGCTAAAGAGCCACGCTGGCATTTCACATCTCTTTCACCAGTTTACCGAGTGTGTCCCATTTCCAGGTTTCCCTCCGTGATAAGACTGAAGAGCAGGGATGGTAAAATTCACCCCTGTGCAGAGGGGGCCTCTGTGGGGCACAGAGCTGCTTCCCTGCTCACCGCGGAGCAAGTTTTTCCATGAAGCTTGATTCACCATTGCCTTGCACTAGTGCAGATGTTTGTGAAATGCTGCTGCACCACAATGGTAGCGATGTTGGGCTCAGTTTGCACTGGTGTAAAAGACTGTCCCATTACAATTGTGGCATGGACACACAGACGTTAGCTGAAACCAGAAATTCTCTTGCTGGAAGGTCGTATTATTTCTTAGCAGTCAGATGGATAATACCTAAGAACCCCAAAACCAAGAGAGGAAAAATGGGCTACTCCCTCAAACAGAGGCACAGTTCCACCCACCTTGCTCCAAGCTGGCTCTCTTGAAGACTGACCTCTGTTGCTAGATCTATCTGTCCCCATAGTCTCCTATAGACAACCACCTAACCTCAAGATGATTCTTACCAACCACCACAGGACATACCACACTAATACCAACCCTGGTACCTTCCCTTGCAACAAACCCCGTTGCCAGCTTTGTCCACATATTCATTCTGCTGATACCATTATTGGACCTAACCAAGTGAGTTATAAGATCAAGAACACATATTCCTGCGCATCCAGAAATATAATCTACGCTATCATGTGCCGAAAGTGTCCGTCTGCTATGTACATTGGACAAACATCTCAGACACTTCGCCAAAGGATTAATGCCCACAAAACAGATATCAGACAAGATCACAAAGAGAAAACAGTTTCTTGCCACTTTAACCAGAAAGGACACTCTCTAAATGACTTAGCCACCTGCATTCTGCTACAAAGACCTTTTACATCTGCACTTGAAAGGGAATCCTCTGAACTGTCATTCATGTTAAAATTCGACACTTACCACCAGGGACTTAACAAGTCTTTGAACTTTCTCACCCATTATCAAGACAGTTTCCCCAATTATCACCTGTAATACCATTAACTCACAAACATCCCACTCTCCCTACCTCTAATATCATCAATTCACAGACACTTACCTTCCTTCCTCCCCCTTCCCACCCCCCCGCCTCCTCCTTCTGTTCTGCAATGTGATTTGTCCTTTTCATATTTGTTCTTTTTTTTAATTGTATCCTTTGGTATATATGGTTGTGACTACTTTCTTCCACTATTTGATCTGAGGAAGTGGGTCTGGCCCACGAAAGCTCATCATCTAATAAACCATCTTGTTAGTCTTTAAAGTGCTACATTGTCCTGCATTTTGCTTCAACTACCCCAGACTAACACGGCTACATTTCTATCACTATCTGTCACACTCTTCCCCTTAGCTTGCAAGCAGAACCAGGAAACCCCCTGAAATGGCAAGTGAGAGCTTACACTTATAAACTGTTTCAAAACACCCCAAGCCCAAGGAAGTGGTGAATAGGCCCATGCTGGCCACCATAAAAGCCTGAAAGCTGAGGCATGCCAGCTGGGCACCCACCTCCTTTTCCAAGGCTTCTTTGGAAATCTGAGTCTAAACTCTCCTTTTCTCCTGCCAGAGCTGGGTGAAAGGTCCTTTGTAAAGGGAAAAGTAAACCAGGTCCACACCCATATTTTTGTCTGCCTTGTTTGGTTTAAAGAATTGAAAGGCTTTTGAAACCGGCTCTGCTTGGTTTTATACGTTTAGAAAAGTCTCCTTTTTTGCGGAAAGGGTTCCGAGAACCAAGTGAGGGGCAGGAGATGGGAGGATCTTTAACAAAGAGAACATTCTTCCCAACTGCTTACCTAGCATTTGAGTGAAATCAAATTTAAGCTCAAATGCTCACCTAAGACTGGAAAGGATCTTTTCATTTTTTGCTTTCTTTGCCAGGTTGCTGTTTAAACACATTTATAAATGAGGCTTTGCCTCGACTTGCTTTTTTTTCCAGTCAAATATGTAACCGAAGCTCCTGTATTTACCTAATAGTTCCTGGCAGCATCTATTTGTAATGAGGAAAATAAATGTTTGATTTTTGCGGCTTGAACAGCAAAACACAATAGCTGAGGTGCCAAGTAGGGTTCGTTCTCCCCTATCTTTGCTAGCTATGCAGTTTGATTGCTTAGTTTTGAAAGGGCAGTGGAGGAGAGAACAGAAAAATCTTTGCAGGCCTGTTCCTGAATTAGTGGAGAATTGGCAAGATTATGCCATGCAAAATAATGAAACTGGATTAAGATGGGAAGTGGCTTTGAACCAGACTCAGTCAAACTTTTTGTTGTTGTCAACACCAATTTAACTCAAACACCTATGGGGAGAAAAACTTTCTTTGTTAAAGATACAACAGTCCCTATGCTTAAAGGCTGAAAGACACTCACAATCTACATTGCTGGACTCTGCAAAAAGCCTTAGGGTTGTTCTTTTAAAAAAAAATCCCTACTTTGATGAATCCGTTCAACTATGCGAACACGAAGGCTGCAGGCTCAGCAAAGCAGAAAGACCAGTCTTCCCAGAATTCCTCAGTGAGTGTCCGTTCATTCCACTCTGGAAGCATGACATCATCAGAGCATGCTCCCATTGGCCGAGCAATACCGCCGAGGGCAGATGCAAACCCAGCTGACAGACGCAGGGGGCCAATCATCAGATCCCACCTGGGTTGGAAAAGCCTCCCTTGAATGAAAACTGAAGAGGGTATGTGCACGAGCGTGCATAAGTGTGCGCATGGGTGTGTGCTTAGAGATTGTACAGCCTGAGGGCCCTATTAGCTCACTGGGTCTGCCCTGTATAAGAGAGGCTGCAGAATTTCTCCCTAATACCTGATTGGAGTTTTGTTTTAAAGGGCTGCGGGGGGATATGAACTGTGGACTAATCGTGATGAATCCAGGGAAGATTCAGCCCTGAATTCTGAACCCCCTTTGCTGAATAATGGAAACCCCACGTGTCATAGGCCCTGACTCGATGGTTGCTCCGGGGCTGGAGTGCCCATGGGGAAAAAATGGGGGTGTGAAGCATCCACCGACCCCAAGCTCCCCGATCTGTCTCCCTCCCCCACCCCGCACCTCTCCTGTGCCAGTGGCCCAGCTGACCAACTCCTCCCCCTCCCTTCCAGCTCTTTTGGAATGCTGAGGACAGCTGATTCCTGGTGTTCAGGAAGCGCTGGGAGGGAGTGGGAGGAGGATGGGGCAGGCTTGGAGAGGAGGCAGAGTGGAGGCGGGGGCTTGGAGGAAGGGGTGGAGTGGAGGTGGAGTTGGGGCGGGGCTTAGGGGAAGGGGTGGACTGAGGGCATAGAATCATAGAATACTAGGACTGGAAGGGACCTCGAGAGGGCATGGCCGGGGCAAAGCAACGGTGGAGCATCCCCCAGCTGGAGAGGAAGTCGGTGCCTATGGCTTGTGTTATATTTATTTATAATACAGGTTGAACCTCTTTGGTCCGGCAACCTCCGTGGTCTGGCATGATTTTAGCTAGCCAGACGTCTACTGATCATGGGTGTGGCCAAGTTTCCCACGGTCCCATAAAGTTTACAGCCACCCGTCCTGGCTGTCAGTGTTCTGTGCTGCGATTTAGCTCTCCCTGAATGTCTTCTCAAAGCCCCGCCAGCAGCGGCAGTGTTGCTAATGCTGCTAGACAGTGTTGACCTCCTGTAGTCTGGCAAATTCTCAGGTTTGGCACCAGCCCGGTCCCAAGGGTGCCGGACTAGAGAGGTTCAGCCTGTAGCAGGGCAATTTAAGGCCCAAACTGAGATCAGTGCGTCAACTGGGCGGGATGTTGCACAGACACACACAGGGAGACTCTGCCCCAAAGAGCTGCCAGTCTGGCCAAAGACAGGCTTACAACTGGTTGTCGTTTTACAGACAGGGAAAGGGAGGTTTGGCGCGATGGTGCGGCATGTCGATGGTCACCCTGGGAGCGGGTGGCAGAGCTAGAAGCTGCTCGCAAAGGTTCTAGTCCTGACTCAGCCCCAAGGCCATTCTGCCGGTTAATTAGAGGAGGGCAAAGGCCTAACAGCTTTTGGGGTCCATTGGGTAGCTGATGTGGAGGGAAGAGGAAGCTAGTGTGACGGGGGCGGGGGCTTAGATCCGGGGGAGTTGGTGGGGGCCATGTTGCTGCAGTAACCCAGGCACTGAATGGGGCTCTGGGCAGGAGCTGTTGTGGGTTTTGTAGTGAATCAGGCACCTCTGAGTCAGTGGAAAAGCTGAGCCGGGCGTAGAGGCCGGAGGGGAGTTTGCTGGTGTTGGTAATGGCCCTTGTCGTGTACCCTGGAGGCCGGCCCACCCGTCCGTGCTGCCAAGTGCACGCGCCAGAGAGTTAGGAGGGATTTTCATTTGAGCAGCTCAAATGAAGCTTCCTGCTGGGGCCTCGTATTCCTCCATCCTGGGGTTCCTGCCTCACGAAAGCCCTGCCACCGAGAGAGGCTGGAGACCGCAAAGCTCCTTCATGATTAAGACCCCATCTTTTTGCTCTCTCTGTGTGCAGCACCTAGTGCATCTAGGAACCACTGTGATGCAGAGGAGGCCTTTGACTTTGGATCCCTCGGGGCTCCTTCCTTAATTGGCGGGGGGGTGGGAGGTGAATCGTGATTAATGCCTAGCACCCATTATCCGTTTGCCCTCCCCCCTAAAGGGCTGAGTGAGCTGCTGTTTCAGAGTGCTCGGCTTTAGCCAGTCAAGCCTCTTGCAGGGAATAGAGGGGAGCACTGTTCTGCATTGGAAGGGGAAAACTGAGGCATGGAGACTGGCCTAAGGTCACCAAATGAGGCAGCAGCAGAGCCTGGAATAGGACACAGCAGGGTCCCTCTGTCGCTGATAACTATCCCCCTCCACCCCCGCAGAGGAGGGGGCTCTTTTTGTCAGATCCCAAAAAAAAAAAACACACACAAGCCTAAAGTAAATGCAGTGTAAAGAAAGCAAGCAAAGCAATTGTAATTGGATTGGAAAGCCAGAAATAAAACTAAGGGCTGAGAAAGTATCAACTGTGGACTAGGTGTGGTTTCCTTCATCTGTTCTAAGCTAATGAGCAATGCTAGCTCTTCGTTTTGCAATTATCTTGCACAGTAAGTCATAATAAACAATAGGAAGGTTTTACAATGTACCTTTTAACCATGGCTGCCCAGAGGATTCAGGAGGGCTGGGGCAAAGCAATTTCGGGGGCCCCTTCCTGGCACTCCCCGTCTCAGACCTCAGACATTCTCATGGGGGCCCCTGCAGGGCCTGGGGCAAATTGCCCCACTTGTCCCCCTCCCCCGGGCAGCCCTGAGCCAAACACACACACTTCTGCCACTTTAGGGCTTTGTCCACAGGGCGGAGAAATGGGCACTAGGACCCAGCAAATTCTCACCAGGTGGAGTCAGGTGTTTATGCAGATAAACCAGTTTGGGATGAGCAGTCTGGGTGGTAACTGGTGTTGTCCTGTGATCTGATCTGCAGGAAGGGAGGAACAGCCAGGAAAATCCACTGAGGATCTGTCTTCCAAAGAAGTGGGGGAAAACCCAGCGAACTTCTGCGTTTTGGGGAAGGCTGGAACAATGGGCTCCTACGTGGACTATGGTGAGAAACTCCAGCCTCAAAGGTGAGCTTCGATGCCAGTCAGGGCGGATTCTGATCTTGGTTAATCCAGACCAGTGATTCTTTCCTACGTGGACTATGGTGAGAAACTCCAGCCTCAAAGGTGAGCTTTGATGCCAGTCAGGGCGGATTCTGATCTCGGTTAATCCAGACCAGTGGTTCTCCACCAGGGGTACATGAACCACGAGGGGTAGGCAGAAGTCTGCCAGGGGGTACATCAACTCATCCAGGTATTTGCCTAGTTTTACAACAAGCTACATAAAAAGCCCTGGTAAAGTTAGTAACAACTAAAATTTCATACCACCAATGAGTTGTTTATACTGCTCTCTGTGCAATACCCTGAGATGGAACCACGGTATTGATATTGCGTTTGATATATGTTATAATTACAGGATAACCATGCAAAAATCAGCAATTTTTGAGTAATAGTGTGGTGTGACTTTTGTGTGCATGTGTGTCTGGTTGTGTTGTGAGTAATTTTTCAGTGAGGTAAAACTTAGGGGCATGCAAGGGATCCAGTAGTCTGGAAAGATTGAGAGCCACTGATCTGAAGCGACTCCACTCCAGTGTAAATGGGGTCAGCAGTATCCTATGCTGTTTGAATCTAGCTTGGGAAATTCAGGTTCCCCGGCCGCTGGCCAGGCCAATGAGATGGGCAGCTTCAGGATTCTCTCTAGTCTAGTCTGTGTGTCTCTGGTAGTGCCTATTTGTGCTCAGTGGAACCTGCAAACATCTTTTGCGGGTGTTGAGAGGCACCCGGAAAGTCAGGGTGTTACCCTGGGTGTTTTGTGGCTTGACTGACTGTCTCATACTGTGCCTGGCCTTTCAGGCAGGCTGACAAATCCATCTCAGAAAGTGATAGTTTCTGAACGTGGGGCCCAATCCTGTATGATTTTATGAGAAGCAATTCCATTCCATGCACATCCCATTTTCCTGGCACAGCCAAAACTTTACCTGGCTTTAAGTTATGATACAAGGAAGCTGAATACTGAATTTAGTGGTCCTAGCTCTTAGGAGGAGTTCTTGAACAACATACAGACAGACA